TCCTGTTGTCTGGTTCCATCCCAAGATGTGCTTTGCTTCCCTACTATGTAGGCTCTTATTCAAGAATGTCTTGGACTTGTCTGCAGAGCATCGTTACGCTGCGATAGAAAATACACACAGGCATCTTTTTCTTCTGATCTCAGAAGCACGCGATTGAACCCAGCCTTCTCTCAGATCCCAGGCTAACTGCGACTCTGACCTTTCCAGACTCCAAGCGTTAGGCTTCTCTCTTGGCATGGAGCGGTGTGAGAGCAGGCCACCGGTAATACCTCAGCAGGGCTGGCTTCTCCTGCCTTGGGTTCTTTTCCCTCTAGCAGTGATGATGGTTTGTCTGGTAATGGCTTGTGTAACTGCTATTTAAATGCTGTGGGGGAAAAATTACACTACGAGGTGCCTGAATAGCTCGTTATCCCATCAGTGCCCATCCACCGGGGTGGGAAGTCCCTGCGGAGTCTTGGCCTGCTGAGACTAACAGGATGTGTGGGTCACCATCCTGAATTTGTTACTGACTTTTTTGGGGCGGGGGGTGTCTGTGAATTAACAGCTTGCCTTTTAAATCATATTTGTTCCTTTGATCTTCCTCCCTTCTCAAGGAGTAGATCAAAAGTTTTCAGATGTTTTCCAGTGCTGGAAAATAAAACTTTGAGCTTTTTGGAAGCAGGATGTGGGATCCTTGAAATGAATAGCTCCCTTGTTGTTTCGAATGCCTGCTGTGATGGTGTCTGGGAGCCACCGTATGCTTCCCTGCTTGCCTGGAGCCCCAGTGGGAATTACACAAAGTAGAAATAGCTCAGTCTACCTACTAACGATTGCCTTGCTGACCCCATCCCTTCCAACTTGTAACAGAAACGCAGAGCTTACATTTTTAAATGAGCAGTCAGAGAACTGCTATCTACCAAGCATTTTAGTGTCATAGCAATAGTATTAATGCTTTTGGTTGTTCATGATCAACATTTTCTATTTCCTTGATCTGATGGGTCCTTGCATTTTCTGGGTGCTCTTTTCTCTCCCCAGAGAGTAGTCTCCTTACAGAGATACTCTGGGGTCCTCACCCCTTTTTTTCTTCTTTTGCCTTCCCAATGGTTCCTTGGTTCCTCACTTTTCTCCTGCCTGAGCCCCACAACATTTACAGGATTAAGAGACAGCTGTAGGCTTCAGGTCTCTGCACTGACACAGGCTTCTGGTGAGACCGTGGGCACAAGCCTTTCTAGTGTCAGATTACCCCGTTAATACTCTGCGTGAGAGCACTATCCTGCCTCTCCTAAGCCCTGAGAAAATCAGTGACTTGAGGGAAAAGCGGAGATGCTGCTGTTGCAGCGCTCTGCAGAGGTACCGGAGATCATCTGAGGAGTCGCTGGCAGCTGCGCAGGCACGCGGCTGCATCCCTTTCACTTTTACTCGTTGGGTCGCAGGGTGAAGGAGCTCCTACGGGAACAGGGCAGCATGCCCGTGCTGAGCTTGCGTGGGAGGGAGGTGTGCTGAGAAGAAATGAGCCCTTCTGATTCTTCTCTCTTGATTGTCTTTCAAGAAAAGATCTGCTGTTTCGACACTAGGAGTAACCTCTTTAATTTGAATTCTACAAAAGTGTCCCATCTTCTGCTCAGATACTTTGATTAACTTATCCCTGGGGTAGTTTTGCAGTGGTCATTGGAAATGTGACCTGTGGTGGTTTTTCAGCAGGTTTTGTTGTTCTTTCTCCCACCGTGTAAAACACTTCCAGACAATCTGCTTGCAGATGTTGTCTCTTCATGCAAAAACCACACGTTCTTCATCGTTGTTTGTTCAGTGCCCTGTAGTTCATCAAGCCTTAGTCCATTCTCACTTGTAACTGGTACTTGTTTTACTAGTTCTTAAGTGGCGTTGGCTAAAGGCACAGCTTTTCACACACTATGCTGTTCTCTTACTGTCCTTATCTGTGCTTTTCTAAACTTTGCTGTATTTATTTAATGGCCGTAGGCAGGATTCTTCTCATCAGAGTAATTCTGACTGGTCCTCAAACAAGGCATGCAATAATATCTTTAGATTTACATGATGAATCTTGTTTGGAATTACACCGGGTGGTGGAATTTTTTTTTCTTTTTCTCTTTAATAATTAAAAAAACCCTGGAGGGATTACTGACACTCTCTGGAGATGCAGAAAGACATATATCTGGAAATACATTCTGATTTTTCACAAGGACAGACATAAAGTCTCTGAATGAGGCCATAACTCCACAAAAGGATCTGGTGAAAAATATTTAAACTTCTTGGAGAGCTCTGGACACTCCCTTCTTATCTCAAAATCAAATACCTTTAGAAGGAATGAGCCATTGTATCAGAGTTAAAGCATAGCCCTGAGCAACCTTCCTTACAGAGGACAGGAGGGAGCGTTGTGTGCTAATGTGGTCACCTCTTAGTGCCAGCTTTTTAAAAACTAGAGCAGTAGGAGCACCAGCACTGTCAGGCTGTAGCCCAGCCTGTTGCTCTTCTGCATGCCAGCTCCCCACAGGTTTTGTAGATGAGAGATTTTGAAGCAAGTTTGTTCTGTTTTGGTAGAATTGTAATCATTACATAAATTGGACAGGACGTGCAAGGAACTGTAACGTGCAGGTGTTCATACTTGTTGGCCCTCGGCATCTTTGCACCGGGAGTCTGCTTGGGCAAAATCCACTCAAAATGTTTACACAAAGGTAGTGTTTGCAGTTCTGGGGGAGTGCCTGGGTGTGCCTGAGAACTGAGATGAGCTTCATCCATCAGCAGCCATCGGTTCTGGAGACCAGTTTGAAGCTCTGGGCGCGGCAGGGCTCCGCTGCTGTCGCTGGAGGCAGAAATCTGGCCTTTGCTTTGGCACCGCCCACTCCAATACCTAAACTAGAGAAACGCTCCCGCTTGCGCAATGGTGAGTTGACTGGTAACCAGCAGAGTGCTTGTCTCCTGGTACCGGGATGCTGGAGTTTAAAGAAATCTGTGGTTTAATAGAAGATTGCTGCTTGTGTGAAATGATTTTACAGCAGCACTGCCTCCTGCTACAGAAAATGTTAAGCTCTTCCATTGCTGGCTTGCTCCCTGCAGTATTTGCAGTCCAGCGTGTGCTTGTGTAGTGATGCTTGCATTACTGCACTGAAAGTACTTTTAAGTGTTGCTGTGAGCAGTCTGGCTGTTAGAAGCCCCCAAAAAAAGGAGACTGAGGGTTTGGTTGCTTTTTGTTTTTTTTTCCAGCCAGGACAATGTCTATGTGTGTACTTTTATTTCCCCTGTAGTCCTGAAGGGGCTGGTGTGACATCCTGTCCTGTCTGCAGCCTTCACATGCTGAGACAGTTTCCCAAGCTCTGGAATGAAACTCTTAGTTATTAAGGTCTCGTCAAACTTTCTCACCATGTGCAAAGGCTGGAAAAGCTTGAGAAAATTCTCCTTGCTGCATTGCTTTCTCTAGAAAGTTTAACTCTTTACCATCCTCCTCTTCTAAAGACTGTTACAATTTGCTTCTGCCCTTTGTCTGTGGGTAGGGGACTTCGTAGTGAGTCTGGTATTGTCCCAGAGAAGAACTTAAGACTGACAAATTTTGGGTGACATCAATGACCATAGTGCTATTGTGGTGCTACAAAAAACTGATACCTGCCAAGGGTCTGCTAGGTGTGGCGTCAGCTTGGTCCTCTGCTCTCTTCCCTGGAGTCCCAGAGGACTCTTTGTTTGACGTTCAGCTCCAAGCCATGCATTGTCTTTGCTCTTCCACCTTCCTAGAAGAGTTGTTCTGTTTCACATTAAATAAGCTACTAGCTGCCTGCCTCTGCTGTCCCTAATTGATAGCCTGTATCTAGTGCTACGACACATAATCCATGCTAATTTGATGTCTTTAGCTGGGCCTTTTGTATCCTCACGCTTATGGGAGAATATGTTGTTTTTCAAGGAAATGTTGAGAGTCTGAGCTTGTCTTCCCATAAGTCAGTATATTAAACTTCATATGGAAACGGTGCTTGTCTGGAAGTGGCTGAAGCTAATGGAAGAAATGTCTTGTGGAGAAGAGGGGGAACCTATCCTTCTTTGTGCTCTCCGCATTCTTCTTTTTCCCCAAGCAATTTTAAGACAATTTGCCCTTCAGGGGAAGATTGTGGGTGGCACTGGATGGCTACCAGCAGCCCTGTGCCCTTGCTGTTGATGTATCCCTAAATAGACTGTGGACTTGGTTTTAACCTGCTCACCTGCCTCAGTGCAACCCGAGCACCTCCAAGCCTGCAGCAGACGTTGCAGAGTCGGGATGTACAAGTCAGTTACTGCAGGGGATTCTCCCCCGCCTTGCCTCTTTTTTCATGCTGTGCTCAGCAGCTGCTTCTGGCTTTTGTTTTGAACAGATGAGTGCTGGTTTCGTAGCTTGGAGTTGTCTGGGTGAATATGCACATGCTGCCATGTTTCAGGCATCCTTCTGTGAAGCAAGTTTTCTTTATGTGGATGCTTTCCAATCCATTTCCAGCCAGGGTTGTTCTTTTCCCTGGGGTGGGTGTATAACAGGCCTAAGGCAGGCCCTGCAGGTGCCCATGAGAGGAGGGGGTATCTCACACTGGCCCCACAAAACTGGTGTCAGTGCTGGGTTCAGACCTTTAGCCCCCATGGCCAGTCCTGTGCTGCACCTGGTTGTGTTGGAGCAGGTGGAAATACTTGCCCACACTAGTCATTCTGATTTTGTACAGGTATCTCATGTGTATATGTGGCTGATCGCCGCTATTCCCTTCATGTAATCCTGCGTTCATTTTCTCTCCCTTGGCTTAGCTTCTAGGGTGGCTGTGGGTGTCCACAGCAGCTGGCCAAGGAGGACAGCCTCCTTGAGGGCTCATCCTGCCTGTGGTCCTGTGACTGGCATAAGCGTGCCCTTGGGCTTGCTGCTTCTTTCTGCTTCCTTGTGAAATGAGTGCATGGCACTAACAGCCCTGCCAGGGCAGGGTGACTTACAGCACACCCCTCCCAGCAAAACTCTCTGAAAGTCCAAGGGTGGCCTTGAGGTCATTGGGGACACTCTTGGCAAAGAAAATAAGCAGAGCTGTTGGCGTGGGGGCTCCAGGCTTCTCTCGTTACACTCCCTTCCATAGTGGAATGTAAAACACGTTTGTGTGTTATGTTTGGGGCTGTCACTTGATCGCTGTCTGTCTCCCATTGTGGTGCTCCCCAAAGCCTGTGCACAGCCGCCCTCTGAACAAGCCAGTTCAACCTTGTCAGATTAAAGGCGGTGGTGGGGCAAAACGTGGCTTTTTGTTTGGCAAGTCTCTAGCTTACCAAGACTCTTTTTCCTGGTCTAGTGATGCCTTGAAGTGAATGCCCTGGGCTTCTCCCACCCATCGGCGCAGGCTCAGCAGGGTCGTTACTGCTGCTAATGGAGAGCTCAGCCCTCCAGAGGTGGTGGTCAGCACAGGAGGCAGTGCCATGGCCACAGCTCCTTGCTCATGCTGTGCTTCAAGAGCTCACTTTGACCCCAGCTGCAGTGTTGCTGTGCCATCTCAGCTGTGGGGTATGCTTTTACAAACCCGGGATGATGCCAGTCCAAAGGGGATACATCTAGTAAAGATAAAGTACGTGTAGGGGGAGGGGCTACAACTTTGGGATAAAAACCCCTCATCTAGCGCAGCTAGCGGTCGTCCGTGTATCTCTGGCACCTGGCTGTGTAGTTAAATTATGGAAGAGAATAGGATGCTGGTTTGCAGCAAGTTTGAGGAAGATTGTGCCCAGTCTTACGGGTGCACCCGTTCCAGAGCAGTGAGTACACGTAGGTTACCCGGGAAGGTGCAGCTCACTAAGCAAAAATGCTTAAAAACCAGCTTAGTCAAAGCAGCAAGCTTTGCTTGCTGGGTTGCATTTCTCACTGGTGGTGTCTGTCGCAGGCAACCGCACACGCTTGGGTTGCCTTGCTGGCCCATCTCCGCTTCGTGAAACCCTCTTTGCTTCCTTCCCTCCTCTGTTTGTCGTTCAGTAGAATGAAAATTCATGATAGCCCTTTGCCCAGGAAGGTCTCTCTTCGATGTTGATGTGGCCATGGAAGAAACTGGTGGATCGTTGGAGGCCAGTGTTACTGGACCTGGACAGAGAGCTTTTTAATACTTTGCATACGCTTAATATAATTATTTTGAGGGGTCCACTCCCCTGCATGCTGCTTTCCTTTACTTCCCAGAACCAAAGGGTGTTAGTGAAAATACCTCGTTTTTGCCTCATTTCTTTTTTTCAAAGCATCTTCAAAAAAAAAAAAAAAAAAAAAAAAAAAAAAAAAAACAAACACCAAACCACCTTCCATCTTGTTCTGAGGGTGGGTCTACACACTAATTTTGTGGGTATTCAGGGAGTTAGAATGGTGAGTTGTGCTGGGATCACATTTGCGTGTTTATTTGTGCACAAAAGCTGACCACGCTGGCTGACGCCTTCTGAGCCTCTTGTGTTCCTGGCACCAGGACCACTTGGGTTGGCACCAGCCTGCCTCCAGTGCTGGCCCGCTCTGCCGTAGGACAGTGGTTTACCGAGCCCTTAGGCTGCCCTGGCGCTCGAAGGGCATGGCTGGCTCCCGAGAGCTGCCATCAGCATTTCTCCTCCTGCTCCTTGCTGGAATTGGATGAAGCAATGGGCAGAGCAGGGCCGGCAGCTGGGCTGTGTGTGCTGCCAGCACAGGCAGGTCAGATCCTCTCCCCTGTATTCTTTTCTAATTAAATACATACAAATTGCTATACTGCATCATTAAATAGTCTTCATCTGCTTTGGGAGGCTCTGCCTGATGCGATTCCAGTGGAAGGTGTACCATGGTACTGATCTCAGGGTAATCTCTGCTTGGTAGTTAGATGCTGCAAAATTGAGGGTTTAGATCCATTTCAAAGTTCCTTACAAGCCTTATTCCAGCACCAACTGTTCTTATTCTGCATCTAAATGTCAGGCCTTGAGCTCTGTGCAGCTTTTGCTTCAGGGCCTTGCAGAAACACAGCCCAGGGGCCTCGGTGCTGCGCCTGGATGCTGCCTCCGGGGGGAGAGGGTGGGAAGCTGCAAGAGCAGGAGGGTGTGCAATCTGCTTGGAGATGATGCAAAGAGTTGCTGCTTGCAAAATGCCGCTTTCCTCATCCCAGCTCCCCTCCAGGGAGAGCTGCAAGAAACTCTGACTGGCATTTCTTGGGCTTGGGCTTTCCTGCAAGGAGAAGGGTGTGTTGTCCCGAGTGCTCAAGTGCATCGGCGCTCATTTCCTGGCAGTCTGTGGGCTGATGATGTTGTGGGGGTGCAGGGGTGGCACTCGTGTCCAGCTGGCTATTACAGAAACCCATTTTGTTGGCAAAAAGGCTTCATCCTGCCAACCTCTATTGATAAATAATGGAGTAAGCTCTGACCGTGGAGCGATGGCAAGGACTCTCTCCTTGTGATTGTGACTAACAGTTTTCAGTCTTGGATTTACATTTTGGTACCCCCCCTGCTCTGACGGCTGTGGACTGACAGCGGTAGTTAAATCCTGACTCCCTGGGGCAGAAGCTGTGTGCACTTTCCGTGTAGGAACAGTCTCGCCCCTGTCACAGCTCGTGAGGCACTCATTACAGAAAGTGTCTCACTGCCCTGGTGAGCACAAGTGACAGTTTTCCCACATACAAGGCTTTTTATTTGTTTTCCTTCATTCACTAGGAGAAGAAGAAGAAAAAGAAGCACAAGAATAAGCAGTCCTCTGAGTCGGATTCGGACAGCTCGGACTCGGACAGTGATGGGGCTCAGCCAGCCAGCAAGAGGACCAAGCATTCAGGGAAGCCCAGCAAGGCTCAGAAGAAGAAGAAGAAAAAGAAGCATAAGAAGAAGCCCCGGGATTGAGCGGGCAGGCAGGCAGGGGTACCGGCACCGTGCGTCCCTGGTGCACACCACGAGGAGCGAGCAGCACTGAATCGGTGTGCCCCTCGCTCCAGGGACAAGGAGTTTCCTTCTCCTAAAAGTAACACTCGGCGTGCGGTGTTACAGGTGTTGACTTTGATGCAAGTTGTCCCCTGTTACCTCAGGCGTGAGCTGCCGTTTTCTCCCATCGTTAGGCACTCCTGCCAGAACTGGTTAATTATACCCCTTTGTCGGCACCTCTCCCGTCCTGTAGCCTCTTGTTTTGCTGGGTAAGCTGCCAGCGCTCGGCGGCTCGCCGGGCCAGTGCGGCCAGCTGCACCGAGCCTGCGTGACATCAGCCCCCATCCAGTTGCGTGTGAAAGGTGGAGCTGCGCAGCCGCCCTCTCCCTGCCCATCCCCACACAGCGCTCGGGGACAGGGGTGGCTGTTGCTGGGCCCTGCGATGGGGCTGCGTCCTCCCAGCTGGGAACAGTGCAGAGCTGCTTGGCTTTGGTACAAACCCTCCCCTGGCCTCACTCATTTTGTCTGCAAACATTGGGAGGGGAAGAGTAAGAAGTAAATGGGGGAAGTGGAGATATTTTAAGTAAACATTAACTGTGGTGTGTTTGCCGCCATGGTAAATGATGGAAAATAAATCTCCAATCTCCAATTGTACTTTGTACTGGGTCTTGTCTTTTATACGCTCCACGCTTCATCCTGGGCAGTGAAAAAATTGGGCTGGCTGTGTGGAAGGGGATGAGAACCTCATTAAAGGGGTTTTTTTTGAAAGTCCTGGCTGCTTTCAGAGGTTCCCTGGCGTGGGAAGGGGGTATGTGACAAGGTGACCCCTATAAGAAGTCTGGTGCCTTCTGGTAAGGAGCAACTGGAGCATAAATCTTGTAACTGGCGCTGAAGGTCAGGGGGAAGGGATGGCGCAGGGCCGGGCTGTCCCGCGCTGGAGCTGCGGTGACCGCAGGGGAAGTCTGCTGGGAGGTGCTCATCCCTGCCGGGGCAGGCGTGCCGAATGGGGGGAGCTGAGTCAATTCTGTCGCCTCTGGCTCTATGGGGAGGCAAGAGCGGGGCTGGCGGTTGCCCGTTGGCGTGGCAGGAGGAGGACGTGGGGTTGCGGAAGGCAGTCTGCACCTTCTCCCTGTGCTTCATCCTTTCCCGTGCTTCTTGCCCCAGCTCCTCATGGCTGGGTCCCTTGTTTTGGGCCAGTTGCCTTCCCAAACCCCGTCATGATGTGCTGGTGACCTTGATTGCCGGCTGGAGGCCGCCGGGTGTGCAGCATCGGCTGATGCTGTGGCAGAGAGCACCCGCCTGCACTGGTGGCGGAAAGATGGCTCTGGCTGGGATGGAGCGTGCCTGGATCCTGGACGATCGGTGGCAGAGCTGCAGTGGGAGCAAACTAATATTCCCCCTGGAAAAGCACATTTCTAACCATAATGACCTCTCTTATTTCCACAGGTCGGAGAAGCAGCTGGGATGGGCTACTGGGATCGCTGGTCATTTACCCCATCGCTGCCAGGGTGTCTGGGCTGATTTATCCCCCACGCTCCTCCCCACAGCCTGGCTGACACCAGTGTGGCTCAACGCTACGGGTGAGCATGTGCCTGAAAAGCCTTTTTCCAATTAAACCCATCACAGACTTGTAACAACATGGGCTTTATTATTTTTTCACATGGGTTTTCCCATTATTAATAAAAAAAACAAACCAGGAAACCACCACCCAAGCCCCAAGCAGCCCCACGAGGCGATGGGGACAGGGGCAGTATGCAGCCCTGGCGGGGGCAGCGGGCTCCAAGACCAGGGCAAGCCGAGCCTGGTGTGGGGCAAGGACAGAGGTGGTGTGGGAGGTGAATGCAGCACTGGGTGACGGGCAGGGGAGCTGAGGACGGCGTCTATGTCGCCTTCTCGTAGGTGCGGGTGGAGACGATGTTGCCAAGGGTCAGAGTCTGGTGG